AATAATAATAATAATAATAATAATAATAATAATAATAATAATAATAATAATGTGTTATGTATTGTCATTATTGTATGTTCCCATACAATGGTGAAATTGGCTCTCTGCATTTGACCCATCCATCACCAGATGGAGCAGTGGGCAGCCATTGAAAGCACCCGGGGAGCAACTGGGGATGAGGTGTCCTGCACAGAGACACAACGAGGTGTGCAATGACTGGGGATCAAACCCAGGACCTTCGGGTCCGAGTTGGCTGCCTTGCCTCTACACCATTTCGGCCCACCATTGTGTGTTTCTGTCTGTTAGCAAAATTTCAATTTTTAACCACATTTTCAAAAAGTAATTATGGGGTGAGCATTTTCTTACATCTGATTAACATTTCAAATTGACCTGCTTCAAGATGGCTGCCAACAGACCTTAAAATGTTCTAGAATTGCGCCGCTCAAAGTGGCTGCATGTTGGAGCAGCTCTGTTACTTTCATTCTGAGATTTTGCCTTTGGAAACTTTAATTCCTCTTTTTCTGGATGTAAAGCACATTTTTTGGATGATTGTTTCCTCTGGTATCGGATGCTGAGCAGCTGGAAGGATTTTTACTGAAACTTTTTTAGTTTTGGACATTTGTTATGATGCGTAACCATGGCAACAAGGCTGTTTTCTACAACGAACAGCAGCTGATTATCATCTCAAAAGCTCAAATAATATCTCAACTACAGCCCCAAATCGCAAATTAGTTGAAAAGGATGTTCTGTGGACGCATTCTCATCTACCTGCCTGCTGTGCTCGAGTGCCTGACCACTGAGATCCTGGAACTAGCAGGAAACGCGGCTCGTGACAGCGGAAGGACAGGATCGTACCTCGGCACCTACAGTTGGCTGTCCGCAGTGACGAGGAGCTCGACAGACTGCTGGGAGGAGTGGCCATCGCACTGGGAGGAGTTTTGCCCGGCATTTGGGCGGTCCTACAGCCCGAGGGGAACCGAGATGCCAGCTGAGTCTGGGTGGACGGATCAGACGGCATCTGCAGCCAGTTTCTTAGGATCCACTGTGGGATGAACCTTTACAAGAGATCCTTCCTGTTTACAACCATCAGTGTCTATAACATCTCTTAATGAAATGAGGATAACGAGTTACAACAACAAATAATTTCCCTCTGGGATTAATAAAGTATTTTTGAATTGAATTGAATTCGAATTGAATTGAAAAACACAAAAACAAGTATAACTCATACATTTGTACAAATATTGACCTAAAAGTTATATTGGTAGGAGCTGAGATTGATCCACAACGCATATTCTGAGCACTGATTGTGCAAGCTTTGTGTTTCAAATTCATCAACTATTTGAAATCTTTTTTTTTTTTTTTTTGCTTGTTAGCAAAACATTTCATAAACCACTGGACAAATTTCAATACAAACTTCATGAAACAATTCTCAATTGTTCTTCTAGACCTGGTTAACTTTTGGAGTTAACCCAGTTTAGTATGGCTGCTACAACCCGCTGACTTTTAAAAAATTGTCTTTAACCTTGTCAGTTTTACATACGCTTTGCTAAAATTTTGTGTGGTTGTAGCTGGAATTCATTCTACGTGTTACCCATTTCAAAAGACCCATGATTAAAATTAAGCTTTCGCTTTTGGAGTTCACCCTGTTTCGCTGTTCTGTTAAAACATCTCATACATAATCCATCCATCCATCCATCCATCCATCCATCCATCCATCCATCCATCCATCCATCCATCCATCCATCCATCCATCCATCCATCCATCCATCCATCCATCCATCCATCCATCCATCCATCCAGTCATCCATCATCTTTTACCTGCTTCTTCCTATGTAGTAATTTAAATACAACTTTCATAAAGTAATCAGTGGATGTGACTCTACAATTGTTTAATTTTTCGAGTCACTCCAAATCAAGACAAATGCCACTGCTTACTGTCTTTAGCCAAAACAAACCTGGCTATAATTCAGCAAGTTGTACAAATATTAAGATACAATTTGATGTGGACAACATACCTTAAGCATGAGATGTCACAAAATTGTAGGAGATCACACATTATTTTCAAGCTTTAACCACAATCCTAAAAATAAAAATTTCATCATCTCTTGTTATGAGATAACAAAAACAAACAAACAAACAAACAAACAAACAAACAAACAAACAAAAAACTTGGTATAAAAGGCATCAGGAGATGGATGTGTGCTTTAAGGAAGCATACACCTTTAATTGTTTATAACATATTTTCACACATACATTCATGACAAGGGCAGCACGGTGGCGCAGTTGGTAGAGCTGCTGCCTCTCAGTGGATCAAATCCCTGGTCTGGGGACCTTTCTGGGTGGAGTTTGCATGTTCTCTCCGTGCATGTGTGGGTTTTCTCTGGGTACTCCGGTTTCCTCCCATAGACCAGAAACATGTATGTCTGATTGGTAACTCTAAATTGTCCCTAGGTGTGAGTGAGACAGTAGCTATGTTTACATGCGCAGAATTCTTTGACCGGATTGAAATGTGTTCTGTTTGAATAATTCAAATGTGTTGTTTACATGGGCACACTCTGTTCATGATGAGCGTTTACATGCAGCGGGCTTTGTTCTGAACAGCAGTACTGACATGCGCACCAAAAAAAACACCAAAGAAGAAGTTCTACTTCCGGGTGAACGTAAACAAACCTGAGCACTCAAAATGGACCTGCGACAGGTTTTAATGATGGTGGAGACGTTACTGCACTCCCTGACTGATCTACAGGTAATAGAAATCATTTTGAGCTCTTTCAAAGTTTCTAGTAGAAATGTTGTGTCTCTCACCGACCAGTTTTACTTCCCTGACATGCTAATATTATTAGCGTTAGCCAGGCGGAAATGGCAAAGTCGCACATGTGCAGTCAGGTCAGTTTTTCACCATCAGATAAAAACGAACAGATCAAGCGTTTACATGCGCACCGATCGGGTTTCGGATCGGCGTAAACCACCCGTTTCGTTCTGATCAGAAATTATAACGGATCGCGCCGAATACACAAAAAATAACCCGAACGGAGTGTTTACATGACACACTTTTATTCCGACCGGCCATTTGATCCGGTTACTTATGTCCATGTAAACATACCCACTGAATGGTTGTTTGTCTCGTTTGTCTCTATGTGTCCCTGTGATGGACTGGAGACCTGTCCAGAATGTCCCCCGCCTCTCACACAGTGACGGCTGGACATGAACACCGGTGAGCCCTGTGACCCGAAAAGGAAGAAACGGGTAAAGATGATGGATGGACATTCATGACAAAACAAAACATCAATTAAATAAACAAACAGACCAAAAAAAAAAAAAAAAGAAAGAAATCTCTATGTCAGCTGTAAAGACTCCTGCTGGTACTGGGTGTTAAAAAAAGAAAAAAAAAAAGGAGATCGATCAGGGATCAAAGCGAGACAACTGAAATTTGTACACTCTCTCTTTGAAAGAGGATTGTATTCCAAACTTCACCCCCTGTGGAGTAATTTAAATTGTAAATGAGCTGTCCCAGACTAAAGGTAATTATTCAGTGTGAATAAACACACACACACACACACACACACACACACACACACACACACACACA